GGAAAGAGGGGCTACCAAAGAGCAAGGTTTTGCTGCATGGGAGGTGCAGGCTATTGTGGCAAGGTTTGCCCCACGACAGCCTGGGAGCGGAGAAATAGTTCTACCGGACACCCGACATCACAGGGTGCTTCATAACGAAGAAATAATCAACCGTGAAGTCCCCAAGTAGTACTTATTTAGCCCACAATGTGGTTACCTTGCTATCCTGCCATTTAAATACCCTGCCACTAATACCTGGGACGCCAGCTGCATGCATCTGTTTCTCAGATGACGGCATAAAAAGCAGTACAACCACCTAGGCAGCTGCCCCAACTTTCCTAGTTAAAAAAAAAAAAAAAAAAAAAAATCTAGCTAGCTTGAAAGCAGGGGGAAGCTATGTTCCCTGGGAGGTATAGGGCAGTGGTCTCAGGGTGGGTATCATGGGCAAGACTCCCACGATGCCACCGCCTGCCCGGTGGGAGAGCCTGCATGTTAAATCCCGAGACTTCCCGTTCCAAAAGCTGCGGCACCGGAACCGGGAGAGAAGGAGCAGAAGCTGTTTGCAGCACCCCAATATTCACATCGTTCAAACCGAGTGTGAGAAAAAGGACTTGCACCGATGTTACGCAGGTGGTTGGAAGCTTCATCCTTGAAGTTTTCAAAACCTGACTAATCAAAGCTTTGGCTGGGATGATGTAGCTGGGGCTGGTCCTGCTTGGAGCAGGAGGTTGGACTAGATGTGACCTCCTGAGGTCCCTTCCAGCCCTCACTTTCTATATGTTTGCTGGCAAAATGCTGATGAAAGCAACAGTCCCATCCAGAACACAGGACAAGTTTCTCGAGACCATAGGAGAGCAGGGCTGGAAGGGACCTCGTGAGATTATCTAGTCCAACCCCTACTCAGGGCAGCATCACTCCTGTCTAAGCCATCTCAGCCAAGCGTTTAACCCACTTTTTAAAACTCTCGAGGATGGAGAGTCCACCACCTCTCTGGGCAGCCTGTTCCAAGGCTGAGCCCCCCTCCTAGTGAGGAAGTCCTTGCTTATCTCCAACCTAAATTTCCCTTGCTACCGTTTAAGACCGCTGCTCCTTCCCCTGCCCCTTTGGGCAGTCGCCACGCGCTGCAGGCACTGGACATTGTACTGTGTACGGTACATAATAAACACAGCATGACTCAAGCAGATGTTTCCCAGCAACTCCTTGGCTACTATCTCACCAACAGAAAGCTTCGAGACGGGACGAGTTCCCTGACCTTTCAGTCTCACCTGTGTGACGGGCTGGGAGGGAAGTACGCTGGCTTGCTATGCTAGTTCGGTGCCCGAGGCACCTACAACATTCGTCTCGTGCTTTCTGCTTCTTGATGCAGACTCCTAAGCTTGTCTGCAAGCTTGTCTGCGGCCTACTGGCCGCACCGTCAGAGCTGAGGCCCAGAAGGGATCATCTACAGTCTGACCTTTTGCAGGTCCCAAGGCCTCTAGTCTATGGGTTAGTCCAGTGGCTGATGGAGCCTACACTTTGGATGGAGACCTCCGCTGTGGATGTAAAGACCCCAAGTTCCTGGTTCTCTCCATTTTGCTGGTTAAATGGTGGTTGCACTTTACTTTCCAACTCCCTGAACCAGAGAAAAGCACTTGACCGTTCTCCCCCAGCCTGTCTCATGGGGTGAGGAGAAGAGGGAAGCACGAGTCGGATCCCTTTCTCATTAGCTGTGTCAATGAAACAGCCTCCGTTTTACTCACTCAAGCATCAAAAACCATCCAAACACAGAAAAGGGTTTTTAAGGGTGGGGGATCTCATTGCCCCAGGAGCCAGACATTTAAAGAAATTAATTTCCTTCCTCTGCAATATTATCAAAGGCGCTAAAAACCTGCTGTGACTGCCAACTAACAAA